AGGTGAACTACAATTCCCAAACTCAAGGTCAGTGCTCACCAAACCCTTCTAGTCTTTTCTGTTGGTCATGGGAGTTCTGCGTGCCAAGTTTGATTCAATTCCATCGTTGGTGGAGTTCAGAATGCTCTGATTGTAGGCGAACTATAAATCCCAGTAACTACAACTCCCAAAAGTCAAGGTCTATTTCCCCCAAACTCCATCTGTGTTCATATTTGGGCATATTTGTGTCCACAGTGATCTCTGGATGTAGGTGAACTACAACTCCCAAACCAAAGGACACTGCCCACCAAACTCTTCCAGTATTTTCTGTTGGTCATGGGAGAATTGTGTGCCAAGTTTGGCCCAATTCTATCGTTGGTGGGGTACAGAATGCTCTTAGATTGTAGGTGAACTATAAATCCCAGCAACTACAACTCCCAAATGACAAAATCAAGGACATACATTGGGTTGTTAGGTGTCTTGTGTCCAAATTTGGTGTCAATTCATCCAGTGGTTTTTGAGTTCTGTTCGTCCCACAAATGAACATTGCATTTTTATTTCTATAGATTATTATTATATACTCCACTTTTATCTATTATTTTTTTATATACCATACCTTTATCTCTATTATTATTATTATTATTATTTTATATATACCCCATCTTTATCTCTATTATTATTATTATTATTATTATTATTATATAGTCCACTTTTATCTATTATTATTTTATATACCACACCTTTATCTCTATTATTATTATTATTATATGTACCCCACCTTTATCTCTATTATTATTATTATTATTATTATTATTATTATTATTATATGTACCCCACCTTTATCTCTATTATTATTATTATTATTTTATATACCACACCTTTAACTCTATTATTATTATTTTATTATATGTACCCCACCTTTATCTCTATTATTATTATTATTATTATTATTATTATTATTATTATTATTATTATATACCCCACTTCTATTGTACAGGGACACGTGGTCAGCCAAATAGCCTGGACCTGAAGCATCCAGAGCTTTGAAGGCCTTTGTTGTTGTTCATATTGAAAGTTGTTGTACTCCAGAACAACTGTTGCTCTTGTGTGCCTTCCGGTGCCTCTGTCTTGCAAGTCAACACTCCTTTTCCCCGCCGAACGTTTTCTCCTGATTCTCGGCACGTGTCGAAGTCTCCTGGGTCCAAAGGACGGACGGAAGTTCTCCCAAGGTGCGGAGGACGGGAGAAGGGCGCCCGCTGCCACCCGATGCCTTGGGGGATTCAGAGGGATCAGAGGGGCTTGGGCCACATGGTGGACGTTGTGGACGCTGGGCCCGGCCTTCCCCCTCGGGGATCCGGTTACCCCGCTTGCACCAGCCAGGGTGTGAACTGCCAAGGGGTGGAATTTCAGCTCCGGGGCTCAAGTGATGGGCTTGGTTCGAACAAGGGCGCAATGGTGAGGGAACCAATGCATGCCCGGCGGTGGGTCTCTTTGAGGTCTTGCCTTGGAGACTGGCCTGCTTTGGGAGTGAGGAAAGTCAGGTGTGCAAAGACAACAAGCGCCCATGAGAAGAAGAAGAAAAAGCAAAAACCACCAGCATTGAAGCAATGATCCTCCGCCATCAACTCCGTGCAAAACAAAGCCCTTATTTATGTGCAAAAACCACCAGCATTGAAGCGATGGTCCTCCGCCATCAACTCTGTGCAAAACAAAGCCCTTATTTATGTGCAGCCGTGCTCTGTGGCATCTCCACCCAAGTGTGCCCTATGGAATAATCATTATTACTTACTTACTTACTTACTTAGGCAATCCCTCATTGTCCAAGTAGGATAATCCTCCAGGGTGGGTCCGTAGGTGACCGTGAAGTCCTATTCTTGACCTGCATCTTCTCCCGCAGTGAGGGCATTGGTTTCCAGGTGGAAGGCATTCCCGGTCGGGGTTGGCTTGATGCACCTTCCTCTTGGCACATTTCTCTCTAATTCTGCAGCACTGCTGGTCACAGCTGACCTCCAGCTGGAGTGCTCAAGGGCCAGGGCTTCCCAGTTCTCGGTGTCTATGCCAGAGTTTTTGAGGTTGGCATTGAGCCCATCTTTAAATCCCTTCTCCTGCCCACCAACATTCCTTTTTTCCGTTCTTGAGTTCGGAATACAGCAACTGCTTTGGGAGACGGTGGTCGGGCATCTGGACAACGTGGCCGGTCCAGCGGAGTTGGTGGCGGAGGAGCATCGCTTCAATGCTGGTGGTCTTTGCTTCTTCCAGCACGCTGATATTTGTCCACTTGTGTTCCCAAGAGATTTTTATAAACCAGCCCCTGGGTCTCCCTACGGATGTCCCGGTCCTCAAACACTGTCTGCTTCATTGGGAAATGCTGCACTAGCAGAGCTCAGGCAGTGTTGTATTTCAGTCTCAATGTTTACGTCTGTAGACAGTCCACACCTCACAGGCGTGTAGCAGGGTTGGGAGGACAATAGCTTTATAAACAAGCCCCTTGGTCTCCCTACGGTTGTCCCGGTCCTCAAACACTCTCTGCTTCATTCGGAAAAATGCTGCGCTCGCAGAGCTCAGGCAGTGTTGTATTTTGGTGTCAATGTTGACTTTGGTGGAGAGGTGGCTGCCGAGGTAGCGGAAATGATCAACATTTTCTAATGTTACACCATTAAGCTGTATCACTGGCATTGGAGAGGGGTTGGCTGGTGCCTGCTGGAAAAGCACCTTGGTTTTTTCAATGTTCAATGACAGGCCGAGCTTCTCGTATGCTTCTGCGAAGGTGTTTAGAGTGGCTTGTAGATCTTCTTCTGAATGCGCACAGACGACGTTGTCATCAGCATACTGGAGTTCTATAACAGATGTTGTTGTGACCTTGGTTTTGCCGCACTTTAGTTTTCTCAATGTTCAATGATAGGCTGAGCTTCTCGTATGCTTCTCGTATGCTTCTGCGAAGGTGTTTACAGTTCTATAACAGATGTTGTGACCTTTGGCTTTCAGTCTGTTGAGGTTAATCATCTGAGAGATGATTTCCACTCCGATGGGAAGCTTCCCATCAACAAGGTGAAGTCTCATAGCGATGAAGATGGAGAATCGAGTTGGGGCAAGAACCCATCATCCCTGTTTGACGCTTGATTACACCTGAAATGGGTCAAAAACAAAGCCCTTATTTATGTGCAGCCATGTTCCGTGGCATCTCCACACAAGTGTTCCTTATGGAATAATCCCTTTGTTTTGCACGCTCTCACGAGCATTTGTTGTCTAGTTGACGGAGTTTGAGGCCGGCCTTGATCTGCATTAAATGCTCAGTGTGGAAGCAGGGATGGTCTCGCCTTGCTTGCACCGTAACCGCTCGGAGAGTGTCTCGTTCCGCATTCGGAGCCGCGAGGAGGTGATTTGATCCGGGGAACCGATACCCGGGAGGAAAGTTGACGCTCCAGTGTTCTCAGCCCTGCCCTTGACCCGGATCACCGGGCTCCGGCTTCACGCTTCTGGCGCCGCGATTCTGCTGGGTCTCCTTCCACCTGCGGAGACGGGCAGCGCTCTCGCCTTCCTTCCTTCCTTCCGTCCCGCCTTTGAAGAGCCACCTGTCCCTTCTGGGTCACAAAAGGGAGGCTTTGGAAGGCATCGAGAAGAAGGCAAACGAGTCCCCTCGGGGAGATAGGACGATAGAGAAAGAAAGTTGTTTATTATTATTATTATTATTATTATTATTATTATTATTATTATTTGAAACACAGCAAGAGGAGTCCACAGCAGACACTCCGCTGGCTGTTGAATTGGATCACACGTCGGACCCTTCCCGAGTGTCTAGGACTCTAATATTTTCACAAACCCCAATGACATCTAGACACTTGATGATCCAACAATGTGGCAGTGCATCAAATGCTTTATTATTATTATTATTATTATTATTATTATTATTATTATTGGAAACACAACAAGATGAGTCCACAGCAGACACTCTGATGCCTGTTGTATTGGATCACACGTCGGGCCCTTCCCAAGCGTCTAGGACTGTGTGATGTATCGGCGAATAATGTGTGCAGATCCCAGTAAGGTGGCCTTCTGCAGCTGGCAGGTGGTAATTTTGTCAGCGCCGATTGTGTTTTAAGTGCAGGCCAAGGTCTTGAGGCACTGCACTCAGTGTGCCAATCACCACTTGGACCACCTTGACTGGCTTGTTGTAATATTCACAAACCCCAATGACATCTAGACATTTGATGATCCAACAATGTAGCAGTGAGTCAAACGCATTATTATTATTATTATTATTATTTGAAACACAGCAAGATGAGTCTACAGCAGGCACTCTACTGGCTGTTGAATTGGATCCCACGGCGGACACTTCCCAAGTGTCTAGGACTGTGTGATGTATTATTATTATTATTATTATTATTATTATTTGAAACACAACAAGATGAGTCCACAGCAAACACTCCGCTGGCTGTTGAATTGAATCACACATCGGACCCTTCCCAAGTGTCTATTATTATTATTATTATTATTATTATTATTATTATTATTATTTGAAACACAACAAGATGAGTCCACAGCAGGCACTCTACTGGCTGTTGAATTGAATCACACATCGGACCCTTCCCAAGTGTCTATTATTATTATTATTATTATTATTATTATTATTATTTGAAACACAACAAGATGAGTCCACAGCAGGCACTCTACTGGCTGTGGAATTGGATCCCACGGCAGTGTCTAGGACTGTGTGATGTATCGGCGAATAATGCGTGCAGACCCCAGTCAGGTGTCCTTCTGCAGCTGGCAGGTGGTAATGTTGTCAGTGCCGATTGTGCTTAAGTGCAGGCCAAGAGAGAGGAGCGGGCCCTTACCAAGGCTTGTGATGATGAACAGGAACTGAAACTCTGCAAGGCTTTGTTTTCCCTGGGCCTGGGAGGAGGGGGGGGGGAGGGGGAGGAGGAGGAGGGCCTTGCTGAGAATTGAAAGTGAAGCTGATCCAGAGTCTGGCGCAACCCTTGCAAAGTCTTTGCAAGGGGGTGAACCCTCCTCCCTCTCTTTCTCTTTCTCTCTCCTGTGGCGCCTGAGATCTCCTCTTTCTTCCTTCCTTCCTTTCTTTCTCCTCCTGCGATCTCTTATCTTTTGGAGAGGTTTCCCCTCTTCTTCTCCTCTTGCCTTGCCCTCCTCCTCTCTTTTCTTTCTCCCATGCAATGCTGCACAGCACCCAGGCAGGTAAGGAGAGGAATGGCTCCCGTCTTGGGTCCTCGAATGGCCAGACACACCTCCACCTTCGGCCCCCAAATTTGGGGGATTTCGCTTTTGCGGTTTTGTTTTACATCTTGCGTGCAGGGAGGTGGTTCAACAGGGAAAATATAGCTCTATTATTATTATTATTATTATTATTATTATTATTATTTATCCTACCTTTTACTTTATGAAAATAATAATAATTACTATATACCCCACCTTTATCTCTTCTTCTTCCTCTTCTATACCCCACTTTTTATCTATATTATCGTTTTATATACCACACCTTCAACATTATTATTATTATTATTATTATTATTATTATTATATGCCCCACCTTTATCTCTATTATTATATACCCCACTTTTTATATTATTATTATTATTTATATACCACACTTTAACTGTATTATTATTATAGGCCCCACTTTTATCTCTTCTTCTTCCTATTATTATTATATATACCCCGCTTTTTATCTATATTATCATTTTATATACCCCACCTTCAACATTATTATTATTATTATTTATACCCCACTTTTTAAATTATTATTATTATTTATCCTACCTTTATCTTTATGAAAATAATAATGATAATAATTACTATATACCCCACTTTTATCTCTTCTTCTTTTTCTTTTTCTTCTTCTTCTTATTATTATTATTATTATATATACCCAACTTTTTAAATTATTATTATTATTATTATTTATCTTACCTTTATCTTTATGAAAATAATGATAATGATTACTATATACCCCACTTTTATCTCTTCTTCTTCTTCCTCTTCTTCTTCTTATATATACCCCACTTTTTAAATTATTATTATTATTATTTATCCTACCTTTATCTTTATGAAAATAATAATGATGAGTACTATATACCACACTTTTATCTCTTCTTCTTATTATTATTACTATAATATATACCCCACTTTTATCTATATTATCCCTTTATATACTACACCTTTATCTCATTATTATTATTATTATTATTATTATTATTTATCCCACTTTTTATCTGTTATTTTGTATACCACACCTTTATCTTTACTATTTTCCCCACTTTTTATCTGTTATTATTTTATAGACCACACCTTTATCTCTTATTATTTTATTATTATATACCACAGTTTTAAATTTATTTATTTATTTATTTATTATACACCACACTTTGTATTATTGTAATAGGCCCCACTTTCATCTCTTATTATATATTATATATATCACTGATCTCTTATTATTATTATTATTATTAGTAGTAGTAGTATATAATATCATACTTTAAAAATCTCATTATGTTTAAATTATTATTATTACTATATATACCCCATTTTTGTCTTTATTATTATTATATATCACTTTTATCTCTTATTATTATTATTATTATTATTAGTAGTAGTAGTAGTATATAATATCATACTTTAAAATCTCATTATGTTTAAATTATTATTATTATTATTATATATACACCCCACTTTTGTCATTATTATTATTATTATTATATATCACTTTTATCTCTTATTATTAGTAGTAGTAGTAGTAGTATATAATATTATACTTTAAAATCTCATTATGTTTAAATTATTATTATTACTATATATACCCCACTTGTTCTTCTGTGTACCCCACTTTTATCTCGTTCTCCTTCTCCGTGTAGTAGCCTGACGTGGTTGTAAGCGTGGTCCAGCATGTCTGTGTTCTCCAATAATACTCTTATGTCCAGGTCATCAGGTGCTCTGCTATGGCTGGTTGAAGCAGTCTGCAGTGCCTTTCCTGTTCCTTGATTCGGGGTGCTGCATTTGGGGGTCCCTATGTAGACTTGCTTGTATTGAATTATGTTTGGGTGGGTTAAGGTAAAGGTAAAGGTTTTCCCCTGTCGTGAAGTCCAGTCTGGTGCTCATCTCCATTTCTAAGCCAAAGAGCCGGCGTTGTCCTTAAGACACCTCCAAGGTCATGTGGCCAGCATGACTGCCTGAAGCGCCATTACCTTCCCACCAGTGCAGTACCTATTGATCTACTCATACTTGCATGTTTTCGAACTGCTAGGTTAGCAGAAGCTGGGGCTAACGGCGCCATTACCTTCCCACCAGTGCAGTACCTATTGATCTACTCATACTTGCATGTTTTCGAACTGCTAGTTAGCAGAAGCTGGGGCTAACGGCGGGAGCTCACCCCACTCCCCGGATTAGAACCTGTGACCTTTCGGTCAGCAGCTCAGCGGTTTGACGCACTGTGCCACCGGGGTTAGTCCTCCCAAAAAACCTTTCAATATGTTCACTTGGTCACTGTGTGCCATGTTTGGTCCAGATCCATCATGGGTGGGGTTCAGAGTGCTCTGGACGAGGGTGAGACACTCCCCAAACCTCTTGTTCAGTTGCTGATCAGTTCCTCTGTTTGTGTTTGTGTGTACACTGAGCGACAAACGCTGTGTGCGAGATGGATGATAGATGGGTTTGTGGGGGGGCCGCAAGTGTTGTTGACAGATGATAGATGGGTTTGTGGGGGCCCTGCAAGTGTTGTCAGCAGAGGTCACAGAGTCAAGGGAGGGTGGAAACGTCTGGATCCGTCTCGGAGAGTAACCGGCGGCCTTGTTCTCTCTCTTGTTTTCTCTCCGCCAGGCCTCTGCGCCGCCGCCGCCTCCTCCTCCTCGTCCGTGGTTGGAGGAACCCCTTACGCCGGCCTCCTCCCGCCGCCGTGGGCTATGAGCAGAGGGGCCCCTCGAGGCAGAGGTTCAGCTCAGGGCCCCCCAAAGCCTCCGCGCGGCGTTGGCCACTCCCTCCCCGCTCTCTTTAACGGTGGTCCTCCTCTTCTCCCGCAGGGAGGCGGACCCGAGGACCTCCGCCAGAAGCAGATCCTCTTCCTGAAGGGACGGCTCTCCGAGGCCCCGCTCCTGCTGTCGCCGCCCTCGGCCGTGCCGCCACCGCCCCGCAATCGAGGGCCACTCCGGGCATCCCGGGAAAACAACAACTGCCAAGGTTCCGGGTTCTGGTACAGCGAGAGCAGCGCGGCCAGGAGACCTCCCGGTAACCGCGGCAGGAACGAGGGCCCCCCTCCCGGTGGCTGCGGAATCCACCGCCTGGTTTCGGACTTCCAGGGCCTGGCCCTGACCTGCCGAGGAGGGCTCGAGCAGCGTGTGCTGGAGGCCTTGAGACGCTTGGCGCCCGAGGAGACGGAAACGGCCCGCCGGCTGGCCTCCCGCCTCGACGTCCCCAAGAAGGAGGTCAACCACCACCTGTACAAGCTCCACAGCTCGGGCCTGGTCTGCAAAGTGGGGGACCGGCCCCCTTCCTGGAGGTTATCGCGCCCCGAGAAGCCCCCTCCCACGCGGCCGGACTTGGACCGAGCCCCGCCCCCTTTCCCCGTTCCCGAGGAGGGCGACGACGACGACGGCCTCGATCCCGCCGCCATGGCCGAGGTCAAGGAGAAGATCTGCGACTTCCTGTTTGGCGTCACGGACTCCACGGCGCACAACCTGGCCCGGAACGTGGGCCTGTCCAAGGCCCGTGACGTCAACGCCACGTTGCTGGCCCTGGAGAAGCTGGGCGAGGTGCGGAAGGAGAACACCAACCCGCCCAAGTGGTCCCTCACCGACAACAAGCGCCGGCGGATGCAGCTGAAGGCCCGGGCCGAGGAGATCCGAGACATGGTGCCGCCCGGCCTGGACCCCGACCCGCAGGTCCTGACCCCCCACCTGGAGCCCGAGCTGCCCGAGAGCCTGCCGGCGCTCCCTCCCTCCTCGCCGCCCCCGCTCCCATTGCTGGAGGGCCAGGAGGGGGAGCAAGCAGAGGAGCAGCAGGCGGAGAGGAAGGAAGACGAGGAGGAGGAGGAGGAGGAGAAAGTGGAGAACGGGCAGCAGACATCCGAGCCGCTGGCCTCCACGGAGCCCGGCCAGGAGCGCTTCCCCCGGCGGACGGGGGGCCCCCCGCGCAAGCGGCCCCGCTACCACTGGTTCTCCAGCTACGACAACTTTGAGAACGGGCGCTGGGCCAGCGACGACATCCCCGAGGACCTAAACGCCATCTCCAACCAGGAGGAGTCCTCCTCCCGGTGCATCATGGAGTCCCCGCTCTCCCCCAGCTACGCGGCCCAGTTCGACACGGCCTTCCAGTGCACCCCCATGGAGAAGCTCATGGCCTGCCAGCAGAAGAACCCCGTCAGCGGGCTCATCGAGTACACCCAGTACATGTACCAGCACTGCGAGTTCGTCCTGCTCAAGCAGAGCGGGCCCTCTCACGAGCCACGGTGAGTACCTGCACCCTCCCTCCCTCCCTCCCCTTATCATCACACGGTCAGGGCACACTCGGCAGGAGCGGTGGCTCAACACAGCACAGGCACACGGGGTAAAGTGTCCGGGTCCTCAGGGGAAGTGCCCGGGTGCTGCTTTCACCCTGATTAATTCCTTATCACACCGTCAGGATAAGTGGGCCTTAAAGCAGTGAAGAAGCAGGCTGGGGTGCCAATGTAGTAGTAGTAGAAAGAGGAGTAGTTGTTTTAGTAATAGGAGTAGTAGTAGCAGAAGGAGGAGGAATAGAAGGAATAGTAGGAGTAGTAGTAGAAGGCAGAGTTTTAGTAGTAGGAGTAGTAGTACAAAGAGGAGAAGTGGAAGGAATAGTAGAAGGAGTAGGAGTAGAAGGAAGAGTTTTAGTAGGAGTAGTAGAAGGAAGAATTTTAGTAGTAGTAGAAAGAGTAGTAGGAGTAGGAGTAGTAGGAGTAGTAGTAGAAGGATGGGTTTTAGTAGTAGTAGTAGAAGGAGTAGTAGTAGAAGGAAGAGTTTTAGTAGTAGTAGAAAGAGGAGTAGTAGTAGCAGAAGGAGGAGTAGAAGGAATAGTAGAAGTAGATGGCAGAGTAGTAGTAGTAGAAAGAGGAGGACTAGAAGGAAGAGTTTTAGTAGTAGTAGTAGGAGTAGTAGTAGAAAGAGGAGTAGTTGTTGTTGTAGTAGAAGAAGAAGGAGGAGTAGAAGGAATAGCAGTCTGAGTCCCTCTACGGAGGTTGAGAAGATCGGGACATAAAAGTTTTAAATAAATTAATTAATGGTAGTAGAAGGAGGAGGAGGAGGAGGAAGAGTTTTAGTAGTAGTAGAAGGAGGAGTAGGCGTATTAGAAGGCCATCACCCCCAGCCGATCTCCATGGAATGCGGAGTCGTCTTAAACGGCGAGTATATCCCCAACTCTGTATTTTGTGTTGAAAAGTTGGGTGGGTCGTCTTATACCCCCAGCCGCCTTGTATGCCAGAAAATACGGTAAAAATACTGGGAAACCGTATTGATTGGGTTATAAGCCCAGGGTGGGAAAGGCAGCCGCGACGGGTCAATCTATATATATAAAAATGTTCTCTGTGTTATTAAAAACAAAAAGCAAATAAACGACAGGGCCAAATGACCCCAAATTTGGCAACAATGGTTGCTGCTCCCTACATGTCTCTCGGCCCCTAACTCACGCTAAGGTCAAGGGATCAAAGGGGAGAGGCTGAGGGGGAGGACGGGGGGGGGGGAGGAAAAAAGAGGGAGGATGGCCACACTCTGACTCTCTGTCCAACACACACACGCACACACACACACACACACACACACACAATACTTTATATATTACTATTGTATATGCTGCTGTATGATATATATTATTGTTATATATACCACTGTATAGTATAATGTTACTACTATATATTACTATATTAAATACACTCATAGAATAGAGTTAGAAGGGACTCTACCATGATATTGGGGGAGAACAAATAGGAAGGAAGGAGAGAAGGAAGGAGGGAGGGAAAAGGGGAAGGAATGAAGGAGGGAAAGGGAAGGAATGAAGGAGGGAAAGGGGAAGGAAGGAGAGAAGGAGGGAGGGAAAGGAGGGAGGGAGGGAGGGAAGGAAGGAAAGAAAGAAAAGGGGAAGGAAAGGGAGGAAAGAGGTAAAGAAGGAAGGAGAGAAGAAAGAAGGGAGGGAATGAAGGAGGGAAAGGGGGAAGGAAGGAAAGAGAGAAGGAGGGAGGGAAAAGGGAAGGAGAAGGAGGGAAGGGAAGGAAGGAAGAGAGAAGGAAAGAAAAGGGAAAAGGAGGAAAGAGGAAAGAAGAAGGAAGGAAGGAAGAAGGAAGGGAAAGAAGGAAGGGAATGAAGGGGGAAAGGGGAGGAAGGAAAGAGAGAAGAGGGAGGGAAGAAGGAAGAGGAAGGAAGAAAGGGAAGGAAAGGGAGGAAAGAGGTAAAGAAGGAAGGAGAAAGAAAGAAGGGAGGGATGAAGGAGGGAAAGGGGAAGGAAGGAAAGAGAGAAGGAGGAGGGAAAGAAGGAGGAGGGAGAAGGAAGGAAGGAAGGAAAGGGAAGGAGGAAGGAAGAAGAAGGGAAGAAAGGAAAGGAAAGAAAGGAAGGAAAAGGAGGAAAGAAGGAAGAGGAAGAAAAGAAGGGAAGAGAAGGGAGAAAGGGGGAAGGAAGGAAAGAGAGAGGCAGGAAAGAGGTAAAGAAGGAAGGAAGGAAGGAAAGAAGGAAGGAGAGAAGAAAGAAGGGAGGGAATGAAGGAGGGAAAGGGGGAAGGAAGGAAAGAGAGAAGGAGGGAGGGAAGGAAGGAAGGAAGGAAGGAAGGAAAGAAAAGGGGAAGGAAAGGGAGGAAAGAGGTAAAGAAGGAAGGAGAGAAGAAAGAAGGGAGGGAATGAAGGAGGGAAAGGGGGAAGGAAGGAAAGAGAGAAGGAGGGAGGGAAGGAAGGAAGGAAGGAAGGAAGGAAAGAAAAGGGGAAGGAAAGGGAGGAAAGAGGTAAAGAAGGAAGGAGAGAAGAAAGAAGGGAGGGAATGAAGGAGGGAAAGGGGGAAGGAAGGAAAGAGAGAAGGAGGGAGGGAAGGAAGGAAGGAAGGAAGGAAGGAAAGAAAAGGGGAAGGAAAGGGAGGAAAGAGGTAAAGAAGGAAGGAGAGAAGAAAGAAGGGAGGGAATGAAGGAGGGAAAGGGGGAAGGAAGGAAAGAGAGAAGGAGGGAGGGAAAGAAGAAGGGAAGGAAGGAAAGAAGTAAGGAAGGAAGAAGAGAAAGTAGAAAGGAGAAAAGGGAAGGAAAGGCAGAAGAGGAAGAAGGAGGGGGAAAGGGGGGAAGTGAAAGAAGGAAGGAAAGAGGAGGGAAGAAAGGAGAAAGGAGAGAAGAAAGGGAGGAAGGAAGGGATGAGAGAAGAAGGAGGAAGGAAAAGGGAGGAGAAAGGGAAGGGAAGGAAGGAAGGAGGAAGGAGGAGGAGGAAGGAAGGAAGAAGAAGGAAAAAAAGGTACAAGAAGGAAGAAGAGAAAGTACAAAGGAAAGAAAAAGGAAGGAAAGGCAGGAAAGAAGTAAGAAGGAAAGGGAAAGGAAGGAAGGAAGGAAAGGAAGGAAGGAGGAGAAAAGGAAAAGAAAGAAGTAGAGAAGGGGGAGGGAAGGAAGAAAGAGAAGGAAGGAGGGAGAGAAAAGGGAAGAAGAAGAGGGAAGGGGGAGGGAAGGAAAGAGAGAAGGAAGGATGAAACCAAAGAGTGAATGAAGGAATGAAAGAAAGAGGTAGAGAAGGGAGAAAGGAGGGGAAGGGGAAGAAAAAAGGGGGAAAGAATAGGTGGGTCCCTCTCTTTCATAGTCTTCCTTTAGGCCACAGCAACGCATGGCAAGGCACGGCTAGTCTCAAAATGAAAATAGCTGCCGATCAATGGATGGTGGGCTCTGTTGATGTTCTCCCGGCCCCCCGTTTGGTGTCGTGTTGTGAGGGGTCCTGTGCCCCCTTCCTCTGCCGCGAAGGAGGCGAAGGGAACCCGGAAGGCGCTCTCCCTTCTTCTCCTGCCCCCCCCCCCCCGTTCTGGCGGCAACAAACGCGGGGAGCCACCCGGCGGTGTCTGTTTTGGCCTTCACGCTTGGCTGCCTTGCCTTGCCTTGCCTTGCCGGGTGCGTTCAACGCGCAGCCGCGGCGGTGTCGGCGTCTCTCGCCTAAGCACCAGCCGAGCGCCCGGTCTCTGCCACCCTTCTCGATATCAGCAGAGCCGCCAGACAGAGAACACTGGCCTACTTTCCCCTCCCAGATGAGAGGAGAGGAGAGGAGGGAGCGGCTCCTTCCCACGGCCTCCCTCAAACGTGCAGGGTCTCCACCGCAGGGAGCAGCACCGCCCCAGCACAGGCAGGCAGGGATCTCCGTGACGCTTTCGATGGCTGTCCGGCCACCCTCCAGTAGCATTCTCTCCCAAAGTTTGGCCTGCGCCTGTGGCTAAAGGCATCTTCGGAGGTTCTGCGGGCATGTGAAGCCACAGAGGGTACCACCAGGCAACAACAGCCAGGCTACGTCTATGCAGAGACCTTCACAGAGACCTTGACTTGGCACCTTTGTGGCTACTCAATGCTCTTCAATATTGCTAGTTGCAACATCTACACTTGTTTCAAGTAGACAAGGGTTCTTTCTTTCTCCCACCCTGGTCATCATTCCACAGAGGGTGCCTCCAGGGAACAACAGCCAGGCCACCTCTATGCAGAGACCCTCACTGATAGACTTTGCAACCTTGCCAGTTGTAACATCCACACTTACTTCTAACACACAAGGGTTCTTTCTCTCACCCTAGTCATAATTCCACAGAGGGTGCCTCCAGACAACTACAGCCAGGCCACCTCTATGCAGAGACCCTCACTGATTGACTTTGCAGCTTCATGACCACTCAGTGCTAACCAAGCTTGCTCATTGCAACATCCACACTTGCTTCTAACACACAAGGGTTCTTTCTTTTCCCCACCCTGGACATCATTCCACAGAGGGTGCCTCCAGGCAACAACAGCAAAAATTCCCCACTGATGGACTGTGCAGCTACAAGGCTACTCAATGCTAATCAAAGCTTGCTCATTGCAACATTTCCACTTGCTTCAAATAGACAAGGGTTCTTTCCCTCACCCTGGTCATAATTCCACCGAGGATGCCTCCAGGCAACAACAGCCAGGCCACCTCTATCCAGGGACCCTCGCTGATTGACTTTGCAGCTGCAAGGCTACTCAGTGGTACGCAAGTTTACCAATTGCATCATCCACACTCACTTCAAGCAGACAAGGGGTGTGTGTGTGTGTATGTATATGTGTGTATATATATGATACACGCATATATATACATCTGTGTATATATATACACATACATACATATACATACACACACTTGTCCACTTGCCTCACTTCCAAGATGCAAAACGTCAGGAGAGAATGCTGCTGGAACATGCCCATACAGCCCGGAAAACTCACAGCAACCACCCATTGGTTCCGGTCATGGAAACGTGCAACAACGATGCTTTTTCCCTTCCGTGGGTCTGGGTTTGCCGTGTTCTAAGTGGCGGGTTCCACATCGGTCTCACCCAAAGGGACTTCCCTTTCCTGGGTTTTCTCCCCTTCCCGCCTGACGCGCCCGTCCTTCTGCTCCAGGTTCAAGTTCCAGGCGGTGATTGACGGGCGGCGGTTCCCTCCGGCGGAAGCGGGGAGCAAGAAGCTGGCCAAGCAGGAGGCCGCCGCCAACGCCATGAAGATCCTGGTGTACGAGGCCGAGCACGAAGGGCAGGACGGCATGGAGCTGGAGAAGAGCCTCTACGAGGACAGCGCCCTCAGCGAGGCCGAGACGGTGAGCCCGCAGGTCGGGGCGGGGGGCGGGGGCGGGGGGGGGAGCCACACCATCAAAGCACTCCCAACAGACGGCCACCCAGCCTCTGTTGCAAGGCGACCTTGGCCCCTGACCTCTCCCCTTTCCCTCGGGCCCAGTCCGAGCAAGCGGAGACAGAGGCGTCGACGCCACAGCTTTGCGCCACCGGGAAGAACCCCGTCAGCGCCTTGATGGAGTACGCCCAGAAGTCCGGAAGCGTCTGCGAATTCCAGCT